TTTTATTTTTCAAAGGAACATTTAATTTAGTTTTATTTTTTCAATTATTTTTTTAATATAATAAATCATATGTTTTTACGCTTTTTTGATATGGTTATTTTATTTATCACGTTTATTTATTCTTTTTTTTTTACAATATGCAAGTAAAATAATGGAATGTTTAGTAGAGAAACATCACAAATTATTTGGTCTGGGTAGGTTTATCACCCGAGGTCGCTTGGTGCCTACCTACCATTCAGTCTATATTAAATAAATTTATTATCCCGAAGAGCCTTAAAGGAATGAAGTATATATTTTTTCAGAAATTTATTGAATTTATTAAACTGTAAGAAATTATTAAAACACCGAATCATTTTAACACTTATTTCCTTTTTATATTGATATTAACCACATGGCCTGTGATATATGGTACAAATCTGCAATTGGATGGATTACGGAAATAACGAACAGTAATCAAGCTCAAAAGTCTATTGAAACAATAAAAATCGGGAGCAGAGTAAGAGGTGGGATCATGTGCCATGAAGGAGTAAGCATCCCCTGTCTACCGGTCACATCCGCCGTATGCTCCTTGTTATGATCGGGCAAACGAAAAATCCGTAGACAACTCAAGTGTTTAAGTAATGGCCTAACAATTAGCATGAAAAATGTTAGTCAGCATTCGGCTTAAACTTAGAACTTGCGAAATGATGATTTTAAATGAGACTGTTGTTATTCTTGTTTCATCAGCTTGTTTGTCAATAGCTTGCCTCGTTTTAGAAATTGTTCGTATCTGGAGCATGCTCTTGCATATCGAATGAACTGGGAAATGTTAACCCCATACGCAGGTGATAAGGTAATATTGCTACATAAGTAACGGAAGTTGACGATAGAAAAGTTGAATTCATCACGTTCATCATAAATTTTTGTTGTCAGGTTACCAATACCGTCTTTTTCTAGTAAAATATCCAAATATGAAACAGATGTGTCAGACTGTGGTACCTTTTATTTCAAGTTAACTGGGATACATCAAGTCGACATATGAATTGAAGTAACTATTGTTAATTGATAATACGTTGTAGATATATCTATATGTCGAGTTGAAGGCCAGGGCAAGTATCTTCTTTTTCTTATGTATAAGATTTTGAACAAATTCTGCTATATATGAATATAAAAAAAAGCTGCTAATAACGGGGCGCAATTAGTACGCATGGAAATTCCAACAGATTGTTGGAAGACCTGATCTCCAAAAACTACATAGATATTGTCAATCAGAAACTCAAGCATCTTTTTAATATCTACCTTAGAGTACTTGTGTTTACAATCAGAACTCTTTTTAACAAAATAAGTTTGTAAATGACCAATGACAAGGTAAGTAAATTTACGAGACGCAACACTTTCAAATGTAATATTTACCTGACGACACCTTGAAACATTCACGGATGAACACGTTTTCCTTTCTTTTTGAAAAGAATTGTCGAATAAAACGTCTATTTGATTTAATTTGGAATAAAGTCTAATATTTCATTGCAATTTGTGGTGCATTCAACAATTTTGGTTTCAATGCGGTTGAGAGAGCTTGACTCGTGTCATGCTTGCACTTATTGATAACTTTTCCCGTGTTGCTTTTAAGAGAAGATTCTGACTTATGGGTAGACACAGACATACTGTCAAGACTTGAGAAATTATTCACATCCAAAACGATTGTGTTTATTGCTCACAAAGAAATATTCTCGTAGATATTTCTCATACTTCTCATACTTGCCTGCTTACAAATATTTGGTATACGTAGTATCTTTGCAAGAGTATTCTTTCCAATCGGTTGTTTGCTGTACCTGATATCATGTCACATATCTTCACATTTCATCAGAGCAAGTGAGTAGGAGAACACAAAAGGTTTTCCTGAAACATGTATTTATACTCTGTTTTATTAAAGTTAGATTCTTCAGGATAATTAAACTTTCATGGGCTGTTTATTAGGGAGACATCACAAATTATATGGTATGAATAAGGTTGTACTCCTTGTCATGATCGGACATACGGAAAAATCCGTAGACAATTCAGTGTGATAATAATGGTTTAACAGTCTGTACAAAAAACGCCAGTCAACATTCAATTCAACTTAAAGATAGATTGTATTTGCTAACAATGTCCCTGTATCGACCATAGAATTTGCGAAATAATGATTTTATACGAGAATGTTGATATCATTGTATCATCAACTTATTTGCCAACATCTTGCCTCGTTTTAGAAATTGTTCGTGAGAAGAACAAACTCTTGCGTATCGAATCAACTGGAAGACATAAACTCCATATGCAGGTGATAATGGTGTAAATAAGGGAAGTTGAAGATAGAAAAGTTAAGTCATCACGTTTAACATTACGTTTAGTTGTTAGTTTACATGCCATTGATGCCTTTATCTAGTAAAATATCCGAATATGAAAGGGATCTATTGAATCAACGTAGGAATAAAAATGAATATTGTTAATGGATAAAACTTCGTCGAAATCTCTTATGTCGAAGTGAAGGCCACAGCTAGCAAGAGACTTCTTTTTTTCATGTAAAAAGTTTTTGAATAAATTCTGCTTCTTCATGATTAAGGTCTGCTAATAACGGGGTGCAATTAGTACCCATGGAAAGTCCAACAGATTGTTGGAAAACCTGATCTTAAAAACTCGTTATTTTAGACAGAGTCTGACATAGTCTTCGACAAAAACATATGACAGTCCATAATCAGTATAATTTTAGTTAAATATTCATTTAGATATTGTCGCCCGCGTGGCGCAGTGGTTAAAGCGTCTGCTCTACAGTCGCGGAGTAAGGAGTTGATACGTCGCGGGTTCGAATCCCATTGCGGGACGTGGAGACCGGTCCTTCGGATGAGACCGTATAAACCGAGGTCCCGTGTCTCAGTAAGTGTTGGCACGAAAAAGATCCCTCACTGCTCAATGGCCCTGAGTGCCGAGTATAGGTCAAAATTTGTAGCCCTCCACCGGCAAGTGGTAGCGTCTCCATATGAGTGAAAAATTCTCGAGAGGGACGTTAAACAACAAACAGTCAATCAATCATTTAGATATTTTGCAAAGCAACATTTCATACACAGTGAATTGAGTCATTTAGAAGGAAATGTTATATCAAATAACCACAGTCTATGTAGTAAAAACGATATAATTCATAACGAAACCTACAGAGACCACATAGCGAGAGTTCTGGTTAACTACAACGTTTTATCAATAAATAATATAGCTATTTTCATTCATATGTTGAGTCAATATATCCCAACGAACTCGAAATAAAAGGATTCAGAGATTCCGCCATATCTCTTTCATATTTGGATGCTTTACTAACTATAGGCATCAGTAACCAACTAACAATTAAACTATATGTATATGACAAACCTAATAACTTCAGCTTTTCCATCGTAAATGTCTCCTATTTATGCAGTAATATTTCAATATCAGCGGCATATAGTGTTTATGTCTCCCAAATGATTTGGTATTCAAGAGCATGTTCTGAGTACGATCAATTTTTAAAATAAGGCAGGGTACTGATGAATAAGATGATGTTAGAGGGCTTTCAATAATTTCATTTAAAATCGGCATTTTGCTAATTCTATGGTCGATATAATGACCTTGTTTGTTTGTTTCTATGTTGTTTAACGTCCCTCTCGAGAATTTTTCACTCATCTGGAGACACCACCATTTGCCGGTGAAGAGCTGCAAATTTTGTCCTATACTCGGCACTTAAGGCCACTGAGCAGTGAGGGATCTTTTTCGTGCCAGCACCTACTGCGACACGGGACCTCGGTTTATACATGTACTGTCTCATCCGAAGGACCGGTCTCCACGTCCCACAGTGGGATTCGAAGCCGCGACGTAAGGATCAACTCCTTACTTCGCGACTCTAGAGCAGACGCTCTAACCACTGCGCCACGCGGGCGACGACCTTGTTTGTAAAAACAACCTATCAATTTTGACGTATTTTGACTATGTTTCATACCAATTGTTAGGCCATTGTTTTTATACTAATTTTGACTACGGATTACTCCGTTTACTTTATCAAGGCGGGTATGGCTGGCGGACAGGAGATGTTTACTTGTCCTTGGTACCTGATCCCACCTCCTGTATTTCTAGGGTACGTGCCTTTGCCTTGTCACTCACGATTCGTAATGTTTACAGGATTTATAAAAGTGATCACTGTTCGATCGTTACTTTCAGGTAATTCATGTAATATATGGTTAAAAAACGACCATTGTCTTTTCTTAACATTGGTTTTATTATACCTGAATTCAGACATTTTAAATTCCATTGAGAATAATAATGGAATGTAAACAGTATTTTTTTAAGTAAGATAGTAAGGAAATACATATCGTTGTTTATTATCAGTGAAATCCTAAGAATAGCCTTTTTCTCGCAATCTGAAAGCCTATCGAGGGTACTGTCCATGTATAAACTAAACATCAAACTGATTGATTGAATGAATGAAAGTCTCTGATCATCAACTAATCACTTGCAGAAAATGTATACCCGTTTTCTAGAAGCGCCATTCAAAACACTCGAGTACTATTTGATCTGATATCGTGCAATGGATTGTTTGCTTGATTGTTTGCCTTTCTCATGTGGAATAACCAAGGTTCCCCTTTGGAATTGCCCAGGTTGATGAGCGATAAGATTTAAAAACTCACGATTTCTCTATTAAACTGAGCCACTCAACTTGTGGTCTCGAGATATTCATATCGATTAATTTTCCTAATCATTTTTGTGTAGAAAATGAAAGGTATGTTTTTATAAGTTACTGTAAAATGCACGTGATATTTGTTGTGTAGTTATAAAATAGGGTTATCAATGAATGGTTCAAATCGGCATTTAATATTTTTACATTGTTTCAAAAACTGTGTGGTAATTGTAATTTTGGGTAAAGAAATACAATCTGCCATTAAATATTTACTAAATATTTATTCTACGTACCATCATTGTACATATAACAATTCGGACTCATTGATACTCATTAACAGATATTTGTATTCTAGTTATGTAAATTGATTTGGTGCGAGGGTTGGAAATTAAATGTTCATAAACATACAGGCATCGCGTGACAATTCATGTAATAACCCTTTAATGGGTAGCTGAGGATCTACCTGAAGATTAAATGTGTCTCGGATGAAGCATCACCAAATATTTAGAAATCTTCTGTTTGTTTACAAGCACTGGAAACCAAATTACCTTATGAAATAGCTTTCTCCTGGATTTAAAGTCGGACCATTTTCTGGAAATAAGTAAGTTTTTTTTAGCAATAACTTTGAATTGATTGAATTGGTAAATATTTAACTGATATCGCAATTAGTACTTTTCTAACCAGTAGTTAAAGCTCATGCTTATGTTTAAGAATTACTTTCTCGATTCAAATCATAAAATAAATATGTTTCTTTACCTGGGTCCTAGTTTTTGGAATCAAATATTACGACGAAAGGGCATCACGCAGCTCAATTAGAATCCTCCCGTAGCTTCTCGAAGTGCTTTCAATAATGGCTGATTAAACGTTTGTTACAGTCATTGAATACCTTTTACTATACTTAACAAACTGCCATAACTGTCCACATCAATATTAGGAAATTAAGAATGTTAAAATGTTACGTATGTAATCAATCAAAAGGGGCTTTGTTGTGTATTTATATTAACAGTTTGTCGTAATATTCTGATAAACCATCTGTAAACCCTACCAGCATGCCACGAGTTTATTAGAGATGACCCTCCACACCAGTGCTGCGGACTTTATTGGAGGCATCCTAGTGTTTTTACCGTTTGCTCTCAATCTTGCAGTAATGATTGTGTCAACAGTTCGAGCTAAGGGGGTAAAAATGAAGGTCAGTTTATGCGATCATTCTTAATTAAATAACAAATTCAAAAGAAGTGGCTATATACACGAATTTTCCCCACTTGTGTACAATTTTTGAAAATGCAAGGATAGCTTGAGGTTCTAATTTCAAAATATACAACGAAATGACTGCATAAATTATTTACTAGTATACACTGATCTTACAAGGCAAAATATGATACCCCGTCTTCTAACGCGCATTAAATATAAAACGACATTAATTCTTTCAAAATTCCGAAGGTTTCAAATTAAAGTTTGATGTATACACTAGTAGGTTTGCTCTAATTTTAGCGAGATTTAAAAATGTCAACAAATAAAATTTAGGGAGAAAAGGAAAACAGAATTAAATCAGGTAACAGTGGCTATGTTAGAGAAGTATAATTATGTTTATTTAGCGTAGTATTATAAAAGCGTAGTGGGCATTGTGTTTGGGAATACCTTGAGTCTTGTGTTGATGCAATTGAAATATAGTTTCTAACTTGAATATGGTAGTATACACATCCACTGATTCGTCAAAGGAAGAAGAAAACAAATTTGACCATACCTTGAGAAAAACATTAAGCATATTCAAAAAATGAATTATAAAATACTAGTATATAATTCTTTTTTTATATTCTAAAGGGAGGGGGATGAAAGAAATTATGACAGATGACATACTAATTCTTAAGTGATGAAAGAATGAAAAGTTGATAATGTCCTAGTCCTTTATCGGATAAATAAAAGTTGTTTGATTTAATTTATTTAAAATCGCATTGAAAAATTTACATATGTAAGGAGAAACACGACTGCAAAATATGAATGTTTTCATTTTAGGAAGAAGAGGAAGATTGTAACGGAAGTGACGTCAATAACAATAATACTGAAAACCTGAGATATCCAGGAAGTTTGCTGAATAGTGTTCGGTCTTATTATTAGCCATTATCCATCCCTACTGAGTGTAGTATCACAGTTCCTTTCATGGAAATACTTCAATCTTGACATTTTATCATATTCTTTGTATGTGTGAGTGATGGGTTAAGAATGGTTATTTATGATGAATGAAAGATGCGAAGTATGCGAGTTGCTTTAGACAAGTATGTATATTAGGGCTGGGACGATACAACTTTTTCTATATCGATACGTATCCCGATATTTGAGCCACGATACGATATGTATCACGATATGTTTAATTGGTTATAAATCCTTTTTTTATATTGAAATGAACAAAACATTTCTTCACAAATAAGAATAATTTATTCAAAGAAGTTGTATATCTGTTGTAAAACTTAATTATTTTGCACAAGTGGTCTTAATTATTATGTATTTCATATTTATATTTATATTAAGCATATTTATTTTACATACTAAACCCAAAATGTTAAGTAAACAAAGAAAAACATTAGTCAGAATTTTTTGGGCGATATGTCGATATTTCTTCATATGTATCGATATGCGTATCATCCTCACATTGAATCGATATGATCGATATCTCGATATATCCTCCCAGCCCTAATGTATATGTATGACATTTTTGATATACTGTATGATAATTATATGACATATCATCTAGAATGTGTTCAATGTCAATGTAATACAAGAAACTGAAGCTTGAATTTCGATAAATTATTTGATAGAACTGTTTTTATGGTAATTTTAGCTATAAAAAGACGAAGGAACAAGGTATGGAAAAGGTAATCACAAATAGTTATCAATCTCGAAAATTCTATATACAATACAAATCGAGAACTAGGCAAGAACACGGTCTTCTGAAAAACACCAGGTGACTAGGTGCCTAGAAGGAGTAAGCATCCCCTGTTGACCAGGCATGCCCACTGTGAGTCCTCTATACTGATCAGCTGAACCGAGTAATCCCTAGTCCAAATTAAATTGAAAACAATGGGCTAACAACTGTTATGACGAATCCAACGATAGCAAAGGCATTATAAGACAACAGACCTTACAAAAATACCTCACTATACATAATAAGAGATGTCTTATTATGTATAGTGAGGTATTTTTTGTATGGAACGGTTATTTTGAGTTTTAACCCAATTTTTCTTATGGTATACATGATAAGGAAGTGTAATAAATATAAATTGTAAAAAAAAAATTCCAACAAGCCCGGGGTCATATATCGAGGGGGTCGGGGGGGGGGGGGGGGTCCTGTCCACAAGTACCTGTGAAACCACTGAACCGATCCTGTGCTGCTGATGTCACGCGTGGTCTATCATATTTTTGGCGATTATTTATTATACCATGCTGTTGGTATATGTTTTCTAGGTTAAAGATATGGTGCTTTGTGCAACATTAAAACCTCTGGCAATCGTAGAACTGTTCCAATTCTTACTTTTTAAGTATTTAACCCTCAAAATCTCCAATCCTCCGATATCTCGAAGTTTTTTCTCGGCCCCTTCAAGTTCAAGATAACGAAGTTTGACTGTAGTTACAATGGAGTAAAGTCCAGAACAATTTTGAAGAATACAAATGCAGTTGCATTGAAAATAACCACAAAAGTAATCATAGTAAACCCTTTTGAACTTACATGTATATACCTTCTACCAAAATAAATTAATAAGTAAATCCATGTTATGAAAGAAAAATTTAATGCTTTTTTCCACTTTTTGTTCTCTTCAAATTATGCGCCATTCGGAACTCTTTGTTCAAAGAATACAAATTTGAATTAAATTTGCCCCCTTTTTTGTTAAAAACACAGAACGAATTCTATCGCTAAACTTGGTCCGTAATACAAGATAGAGCATTCGAACCATTACATGTACTTTTTTTTACGAAAGCCTTTTAATGAAGTTGCATACCTCGGATTACTCCTTTACGACCCGTTGGTTATGGATTTTTAAAGTCTTTATCTTATTTGAAATATGATTATTAAAGTTCAGGATCCGGCCTATATATTTTGTGATTTATTATTATCAGAATCTAAAGCACGCATTATATCTATATCCCAATTGACACCTCTCTCTCTCTCTCTCGATTGATACAAAGAAACATTTGCCTTATTATGATACCTAGATACTCGTAGTAGGAAAAAAAAAGGTTAAAAATTGTATGTTCACAGTATTTTTATTTATATGTTTTAAAATATATGCCCTTTGCAGCTTTCAGTGGACAGTGGATATTTGCTAACATGCTGCCCTTGAACCTTCAAGATGACACTAGTATTATATCCTCAACATCTTATACGTACACTTGTTTGATACCTTTATGTCGAATATTAAGGTAACCCGAATTTAATAGATTCCTCGTGTTTCAACTAATAGAAAGAATCATGTGTTGTAGTCATGCAATAAATTGTCTGCTAGTTGTCCGGGAGAAGAGAATATTTTGGATATACATGTATTTCATGTCTCGCGCCTGAGTTATACCCCCGAAGAAGTGTCTTTCATGAATTACGAAGGTTAATGTCTCTTTTGAAGTACGCAATCTGGATATCATATTTAAGCAAATTTTCGGTCAACGTTAAGTTTTCAAACTAATAAATAAATCCTGCATCCAGAGGACATAAATTTCACCAGTTTTCATGAGATGAGCCTCATTGAATAAACAGATTGTGTTTAACTATCCTTTAGTTTTGAAAATTGCATTACTTCTGATAGTTTGGTTCCACTTTCAGGCCATGGGATGTAAGTGACCATAAAAGTCAATTTCTTTTAATTTAATTTTTTTTTTCACCAATACATGCTATATTTTAAATTTAAAATGTGTAATTTGTAACTGGTTTATCATTTCAGAACAAATTCTATCGATAAACCGGATTCGTATGACGCGTTAAAACTATTTAATGAAAGCCTTACAATAAAATAACACCACAGATAACTTATGTGATCTACTCTTTTACATATGTACGACCTGTTGGTTATGGATTGTTAAAATATTATTTTTATCTTCAGAATCCTGTCTATTTATTGGTGATTTATTATCAGTAGAATCTAAAGCTATATCTTTATTCCTTAAAAATTTCCTCGAAGAAGAGTTTGGTATCTAGCATTTTCAAACAATTCTATATATATAAATTTCACCCCGGAAACCAGATGCTTGCTTTTTGTATATGTGCCTTTAGATGATAAGAATGAATGTTTCGTTTCTGTCTTTTCTCTCTTAGTTTACAGGTACCCAGTTCTGCTAGCTTATAGTTACATTTTCAGACTCCGGGATGTCAGTAATAAAGAAATTCAATTGTTTCCCTTTACTCATGAATGTTGTACATGTATTTTATTTTTGTAATTTGTATGTGACTCTATCATTTCAGAGCGAATTCTATCGTTTAACACGATGAAAGGTTCTTATGAAAGTCTTACAATGAAATTGCACACCTCGGATTGATTTTTTTTTTATGGGTCCCACTGTATGTACTTGGTCCTCGATTTTAACATGATGGATAAATATTTAAATGAATTTGAAGTGTCTTGTTTTAAGTAGTTTGTATTAAAAAAAAAAATTTAAAAACACATCAAATAAATTCAGAAAATGACAGTATTACCGAGGTTACTGGTCACTTGCAATATCTTACCTGTGTGCATCACATTTCATTTGACAGTTCTGAATTTCATTCGCGAATATGTTCGTACTTCTGGAATGAGAGCATCTTCTTATCGTTGATACACAACATGTACAAAATGTAGTCCAGTTATCAATCATCGACATTGCGGTCCAGTTTTCTTTCGTAACTCGTTGATGTACAAATTTTTTGGATACAAAAATCAACACTGTATTCATAGAACACCTATTATCTATGAGGCGCTGTTTTGGTATTTACTGCCATTAAGTGATATCACTTATTCAAATAGATGATATCACCTATTCGAATAAGTGATATCACCTATTCAAGTATGAGGCGCCGTTTTGGTATTTACTGCTATTAAGTGATATCACCTATTCAAATAGGTGATATCACCTATTCATTTTGAATAGGGGATATCATTTATTCGAATAGGTGATATCACCTATTTAAATCAAATAGGTGATATCACTAATTCAAATAGGTGATATCACCTATTCAAATAGGTGATATCTCTTATTCATCTTGAATAGGTGATATCACTTAATCGAATAGATGATATCACCTATTCAAATTATTCATAAAATAACAACTGCTCCCAAGGGTCTGTAAGTCTCGTTTACTTTCACTTTCGTTTTATAACTTCCGGGGTACATGAGCGTTCTTGGAGACAATGGATTCAGGCACGTAGCATTAAGGGGGGGGGGGGGGGGGTTCCTGCCCCCCCCCCCCCCACTTTTCTCTAAACATAACTTTTTACTATTGAAAATGTTCATTGAAAGACCGGTTGGCCTTCCCACTTTTTGGTGCAGAATTCAACATACCTGAAGACTTGACAAGCAAACAAAAAAAAAAGAAAATTGTCCAAACTCGAAAGTCCTATTTTGTGGGGAGGGGGTGTCTTTCAGTACCAAATTTTATTAATACGCTACTACATAAAGTCATTAATCCCCCACCCCACCCCCTTTCAAAACCGATGCTACATCCTTGTTTGAAAATGAATAATTATAACAGAGAGAGAAACTACATGTATCAATAAATATAGCAAAACTAATACTACAAGTAAAAATTTATAAAATTTATACAACTTTACAGAGATCGATAGCATAAGGTATTTAAGATGTCTCGGACTAACTGGGCAGTCCGATTTTGCTTGGGACCAATGGAAATCTCTAGATAGTCTTGAGGAAGGGAGCATTCATTATAAATTATTTAATGTTCTAAAAATTGCAAATAGGTGATATCACCTATTCGAATTGGTGATATCACTCATTCAAATTAAATAAGTGATATCACCTATTCGAATAGGTGATATCACTTAATCAAATACTTGATATCACCTATTGGAAATGAATGGGTGATGTCACTTATTCGAATATTCATATCCAATAGGTGATATCACTTATTCGAATAGGTGATATCACCTTTTCAAATTGAATGGGTGATATCACCTATTCGAATAGGTAATATCAGCTATTCGAATAGGTGATATCACCTATTCAAATAGGTGATATCACTAAATGGCAATAAATACCAAAACAGCGCCTCATAATTATCACCTTTTCCATCATTGACCACTTGCTAGTTTCTGTCTTGAGGACACTATGGATCCAGATAAGGGTTAACCACACATGTCGTTATAAGGAGGTTTGCTTCATTGGTTGTGTGCATGCCTTGAATCCCTCTGTCTTATGTTGCTACTGGTCAGGTGATTTTTGTTTGTAATAAGCAGTTTCTAATATGATGGGTTGTTCTATTCAGAACACTTTCTATTCTCATCTGTTTAAAGTAACCTGGTTCAGAATGCACTTGTTGATCCCCGCCCCCCCCCCCCCCCCAAATATTTAAATCTAAAAAAAGGCCACGGTCGATGAACTTTGAAATCCTATCGTTTTCATTTAATTTAAGAATATCATACTTGCCCTAATAAAAATATACTTAACACTGTTAAAGAAATGAGTATGTTTTAAGAATTATATTCTTTCAAGTTTTTATTTTTTATTTACTTGTTTGTTAGAACTTTTCATCCTAAAACAATGAATAATTTTATGAAAACTCTGCAACTGTTATATTTGGAACAGGTAATCAGAATGATAGATCACATCTGGTAATACGGAACTGAAAATGA